AGAAGTAGAGGGAATGACAGGAGTCTAAATTAGATGGAAAGGCAGGATTAAATTAGGGAGATTTGTGTATGTAATTGTATCTGAAAATAGTGGGAATTAATGAAGTGTTTTAATCAGGAGGACTAAGTGAAATCTGATTTGCATTTCAACAAGGTCGCTGATAATGAGATGGATTACTCAGTGTTGGGAATCTCGTTAGAACACAGGAATTATGATTTGGCATCAAAATAAAGTTCCACCTGGTTCTCAACTGTAATCACAAAGAAGTAAATTACTTTTTACTGCTACTTGCCATTTATGTTTTAATCCGTTATTCAGGTTCTACAATCTTGGCTTTTTTATTTTTTTATTTTTTTTGCCACTGCAATTGTCACAGTCAGCTGATGTTCTTAGAAAATAATGTGGAGTGATTAGCTAAGTCCTTTCCCTGAGTTATATAAAATAGCACTGGGCCATATATTGTGTATGTGTGCTTTGTATTTATTTTCAAAAGAATATGTCATCTTTCATTTTTGTAGTTGTTTTATTGTTCTCGTAGAGGTTGGAATATAGAAAGAAAAATGAAAACGGTAATTTCCTAAGTAACTTTTGCCTTAGGATGGTGAACCAGTGACATGATCTGTGTGCCTCTCCTGAAATGGGGGAGGGGAGAGATTTATAGCGTGTTGCACCAAAAAGAGAATAAAACATAATTTCCCATCCTCCCATACACCCATTAAATCAAGGCATCGGAAGATAGTCCAAGGTAATTCTAAAGATACTTTTGAAACCAATAGGTTGTTGCTATATTATTGAAATGATAAGCAGGGCCAGCTACTTAATTGGCACAGTCCTCTGCAAAATGAAAATGTGACGCCCTTTGTTCAAAAATCAGAAAAAAAAAAGGCTTTTCCTTTCTTGTGTTGTCTCTCTCTCAGCCTGTAATAACAGTTGTTATTTGCCATTTAATGTTGTACTCAGTTGGGCCCAGTGACAATCACGGGCTGAGTGCAGGCCCTGACAGGTAACCGGCCCACCCTGAGACTCCACACTGGGGGCAAGGACATCCCACCCAAACCTCCCTGAGCCTATGCCTTGGCCGCTGCCTGGGTTGGTGGGCTGCAGTGATCACTGGGTGTGAGAAGGGGAGTGGGCAGCCGCGAAGCTGTCTGGGGAAGCAAAGAGGTGGTAAGAGGCAGAACCCCACATGAGCCGAAGCTCTGCTCCCCCAGCACATTCTCAATGACCCCAGCGGACTTAACTTAGAAAACACAAATTTTAAGATAATATTATTAAGAACTTCAAGATGGCCACTGTAGAGCATGGAACCCCAAACATGAAGCCCTATGCAGAGTCTCAAGTCCTGAGCAATTTCGCTGGTCATCCACCCATGGAGACCACCCTGATGGTAAGCACTGGGTTGTAGCTTGAACTAAGAAGTCCTTCCACTAGTTCCGTAAGAACCACTATTGCTGTTACGAGTGTAAGCAGACCCTTAGCTGTAAAAATTAGGATTTAAACTGATTCATATCTATATGTTTGACAAAACGTGACTATTTTTTCAATAAACGGAGTTTGTTGCCGTCTCTTTCTCCTCTACATGCCCCCAATAAAATTATAAATCTCCAGTTAGATCTACCCACTGTCAGCAACCTCATTAAATAAATTACATCACAACTGTCTTTTAATCATTCCTTTGTGAAGATGTTAAGAGAAGCTCAGAATCTTACAGATTTTAACAATGGAGACTCTAAGATTCCTGCAATATAGATTGTGCCTCTGACAAATGAACATATGCTCTACAAACAATGTTGCGGGAAGGAGAATCTGACCTTGTCTTCCAAAGGCACAAAATCACACAATAGAGAGGCAGTAGTTGCGGTTCAGTAGTCAGCTCTAAATTCTAAATCTGGCTCTTCTGCTAAGTTAGCATGTATGTGATCTCTTATTCTTGTTTCCTCTTTTGTAAAATGTGGTGCTAGTTTTGAAGATTTTTTCCAAAATTATCTTCTAGTGGGAAAGTGATATTCCTTCTTTGTCTCTGGAGAAGCAGAAGGTATTTGAATGTAGAGAATCATATAGTAGGTGAAAGGAAAAGCAGCATCTACTCTCACTGAGTACTTCTGTAATCCTTGTGTGTTTATGTTGGGGGGGTTCCATATCAGTCAGTTCTCTGACACCAGCTGTGTGTCCTACAGCTGAACTCAGTTCTGACACCAACAGCCTGAAGAGTTAGTGCAGACCCCACAGTTGAAGCGCTTAGTCTCAGAAGACTGCCCCAGACTTCAGAAGCCAATTGCAAGTGGTAGGTCTCTCAGTTACCCACAACTTCTGTCCAATTTGGCTGCAAATCAGAGATTCCCATAACCCCCTCCTCAGTTTAGATCATTTGCTAGGACAGCTTGTAGAACTCAGGAAAACAGTTTCCTCACTCTGTTACAAGGATTTATCTCAGGGACAGCCGGATGGAAGAGCTACATAGGGCAAGGTATAGAGAAAGGGGAGTGGAGCTTTCAGTCCCTCCCCAAACTCTCCACCCTCCCAGCACCTCCCCGTGTTCATCAGTCAGGAAGCTCTCCAAACCCCATACTGTAGGGATTTTTATGGAGGCTTCATTACGTAGGCATGACTGATTAAATCGTTGGCCATAGGTGATTAACTCAACCTCCAGCCCCTCTCACTTCCCCTGAGGTCAGGGGTTGGGGCTAAAAGTTACAACCCTCTAATCACCTGGTTGGTTCCCCTGGCAACAGCCTCCATCCTGAGGCTATCCAGGAGCCCTCAGCCACCAGTCATCTGGGTAGCATATAAAAAACACATCACTTCTGGGGATTCCAAGGGTTTTTAGAAACTGAATGCCGGGAACTGGCAGGGAGAGCCATACTCCAATACCTTAGCACCAAGATCATTGGTAGTGGCTTGGTACAAGAAAGACAAACAGCAATGAGAAGTGTTTCTACAGTTGGGGATGTGACGTTTTGTGTAAGCCTATAGCTAATTCTTAGTCCGGAGTTCACGGTTAGAGTTAAAATGTGCCCCAATCTCTGAACAAAGTACTGTGTGTAAGTTCATTTTACGACTCCATCAGATTAGCAGGAAAATCTGTAAGCATAATATGATGAAACATGATAATATCTTCTATGACACCTACAGGCCAAAGAAGGGGCTTTAGTGTCACAGGAGGCAATGGGTGTGTTATTTGGTGCTTAGGAGAGGGAAATAGCCTGAAGCATGGGAATGAATAATTTATAGCAAGAGGTGCAAACTTGATAGGTTTATATTTTCATAGAAACAAAGTCAGTTTTAAGAGTTACATTTTAAAGCAAATGAATACGCAATTGGTAGATTATGTGGTTAAAATGGGAGTCCTCAGATCCCCGAATCCCCCTGCCATGGAGCCACCAGTCTGGGGCACTGCTGACCCTCTGAGATCCCCGTTTGTAAAGCTTCTCTGATCTCCGGCAGAAGGATACTAAGACATCTTCTCATTTGGTAAAATCACCAAATAGACAAATCTTACTAAGAAGTCTCCAATTCTCTTTTAGTCGTCTTTTCCTCCTCATACATTGAAAAAAATTTCCACTTCTTGATATTCTTTTAATTTGAGAGTAAAAAAGAGATATATTTCTGATATACTAATTTTACTAGTTAAATATGTTTTCAACTTTTAGGGTGAATGATTCCTGCATCCCAGGGGTATTATGTTGTTTTTCAGCAATATTTCATTAGTGTAAAGGCTACACTTTATTGCAGACCAACTCCAATCTATGTGAAAATGTATTCCTTAAATTTGCCTCATGTTCCTAGTATATGCACCCCCAATCTGTGTAAGGATGTAGTTTAGTAAAGACAAAATGAACTAAAGTTTTGATAGTATGTGCAAGACACGTGTTTTTAAGACTTTTAGTAATTTACTGACTCTTGTCATTGTTATGGCCACTTTTCAGAAGATGAGTTAATTTCCTAAATATTTTAGCATAATAAATTATTAGCTTATTAACCAGATCTACGTTTTAAAAATCAACATAGAAAATCTTCAGAGAGAAATATCCATCAAATTTGAGAGCATGAACAGTGGTTGAAAGATAGGCTATTTGTATATTTATTTTTCAGCTTGATTAAATCAAAAGACATCTTTCATAATTATCCTTTTTTATTAGTAGAATTTCCCCATTCCTCCCTCCAACATAAGAATGTCAAAAATACAGAAAATGATCATTACTTGGAAGGATAATGTAATTATTAACAGGTTTTGAAGGTCTGGGCAAAAAACGCTATCTTCAGATTGTCAGTGTAGTTCATAAGATAGACTAACTCGATATATAGCAGGTGTTCAATAGTTGTGTTTTGATTAAATAACATGCAATGTAGAGTAGCGCTAAGTGTCATTTAAAATGCAGCCAGGAAACTGTTTTTCCCCTTTAATCTCTTTTCTATAAATTATTTATTTGTAAGGTTTCAAAACATGAGGGAAAAAAGTATCCTTAAATTTAGCAAAACAAAGTATGGCTTGAAAAAATGTTTAAACTATATAAATCCTAGAACTTCTTGTTTAAAAAGATGTGCAGTTATTTTTAGCATCGTCCCAGGATTGTCATATATTGAAGGTCCCTCTCATGGACTAAAACTACTGTGCAATTTTTAAGTAAGAACACTTAGACTTTACCCTTTAGTGAATCATATTAAGTAGAATTTCCAGTATGCCTCCTTGATTAAAAATTGCCAAAGAATGCTTTGACAGAAATAACAATTGCCATTTGAAAACACAGAATTGATTTTCTAGGAAACATGGGTATCACATGTGTATATGGTTGTAGATCTGAATAAGAATGGGCATTTTAGGTATCAGAAAAAAAATGAATCATGCTTGTGCATTTGTTATTTCAAATGTCATCATTTTCTTCCCGATGTGTTAAATCTGATCTTCGATAGAGTATCAAGTTTGCTAATATGTATTGCAGGAATTTTGCTTGGAAAAATGAATTAAAATAAATAAAATAAACCAGATACAAAATCTTGCCTTGTATTTACAGATAAATTTTAATGGAATATTTCATGGTCTAACACAAATATCAGACCCAATGACACTAATTCTTGTACAGCCTTTGGCTTACCCTGTATAACAAAATCTGTTATTTAAAGTAGACTATAAAAGACCTTATGGTAAGTGAGCTTCCAAAGACACAAAGAAAATCCTCCATAAATTTAAAAGCTTATCTCAAATTCTTATTGGCATAAGCTTAAGATGGATATATCATTAATTGCATTATCTTAGGTAGTTGAAATATATAATACTGGTTAGAGTGTGAAAATTAAAAAAAAAAAATAGGTTTAAGTATTTTTGCTTCTGTTCCTAGTCAACATTAGTAAACACACATAAGTCAATGTAAAATTACCTTTACAAGTTTTGAAATTTTGGCAATTTCAAGCAAATTTCCCTAAGTCAGCAACATTTTTTTTACCCTTAGTCAGCATATTACAAGGTTCATATATTCCAAAGAGTAACGATTAAATGTTGTACAAATAAGTTAACATTTATTTTTACTACTGCTTAATTTTTAAAACTTCCACTTAGAAATTTACAAGGAAAATGGGCATCGTTGAGGAAATCGAAAATGAATGGATAATGTACGCAGTTGAAAAAGATATGCAAAATGTGTTTGGCATAAAGGAATATATTTTGTAACATCTTTTATAACCTGTCAGTGGGAAAAAAAGAAAGTTCCATCTTTCAATGTCTGTTTTTAAGAATAGGAAAATGAACTAAATGAATAGACGATTCAGTAATGTCCAACAGATAACTAAAATTCAAATTTTATTTTTCCATATGTATCAGACAATTGTTTTTCTGACAAGACTTTACTGAAAGATGAAGTGCAAATGGGAACCCTGTAAGAATGTTTATAAGAGTTGTACATGACATATTTTAAGCGCCACTAAGTACACATTGAATACTTTGTAAGTATATAGGCATATCAACATGCAAGTGTCATGTACCTAATATTACAATATGCATTTTGTTTTTTTGAAAATGCTAACAGTAGATTCAATAATTGTCTTTCTCAATCTTCTGTGCAATATGTTTGATTTTTGTGGATCTTCTTTACAGCACAGAATTTATTTTTATGCTGTCATAAATATACCCTTCCAAAAGTTATGAATTTCATGTCATACAAATAGAACATTTTATTTTTGAGGCTATATTATTGGGAACACCTGCGTTTCTGGGTACCATTTTCAGAGATAAGTCTTTAAATTCTTTTTAACATGGCAGACTTGTTCCAATGTTGGTTATGTTGAAATATTTATGATAAAAATGGAGCTTTCTTGAGGAAATATTTTTTGGTTGAATGAAAAGCTAAACAACCAATTCACAAATATTGATGTGAACTGAATATGAAGAAAATAGGTCAGCAATCCCAAACTCAGAAATCCTTAGGTTTCTACTTAACTGCATCATTGAATCTACAATAAGTACAGCAGGTACAGTGAAATAAATTTGTAAAGAGATTAAAATTTTATACATTTATAAGAAGAAAGAGAGCTAGTGTTGAAAAATTCCTAAATTATTTTTCTTCCTATGAGAATCATTCAATACACTAGAAACATAGAAAAAAGCAAAAAGGATAGATAACAATTCAGTTTACATTTCATTTTTTTTAACCAACTGGTGACCACTGCTTTCAACCATCAAATATTTTATTGCATATAACTTTCACTATCAGCAAATATAAAGAGAAAAATGTCTACTAGTATCATGTACAAGGAAAAGCATCTAAAGAAAGAAAACATTTGAGGTTTGACAGTACTGTGTGTAAGAGAAGTGTGACGTGGCGTTTCATACCGCACTTAAAAGTCCGCGTAGGAATCACTGTGCTCTGACCCTGGGTGTGGGAAAGTGCTTAAGTGCTGAGCCCTGGTAGCTTTTTCTTTTGCCCCTGCAATCTTCAAATACCTTTTAAGTTTTCTTCTTTTGAAATATACAATATATTTCATAGGGGAAAATAGTGTTTTTTCTTTACATCTTTTACACATTTGGGCCCATTCTCTCCAAAATAACCATACATTTCTTGTAACTAATATATCTATTAGGAAAAGGTGGTAAGGATTAGACTAACGGTTATTTGTCACATGACCACATAACATAGAAACATCTTACTTTAACTTTAAGCATGTTTTATAGATTCAGCATCACAATTTGAGATATTTTCTTGTATCTTTCTTTTCTAGAGGAAAACCTGCGTTTAAGTGTCATTTCCTTTTAGGATAATTAAATTACATCATTTGAACAATTCATATTATGTCTGTGAGACAAAATAAAGTGAGAAATACTTTGTAGCAATACTTTACATTAATTATTCAGGATTATTTGATATAAGGAGGCAGTTTTAAATACCTAAATTGTCTTACATAGATAACGCTTCTTGGGAAAATAAATCATATACATGATTTTTACTTAAAAGCATAGCATTAATTTGTAAGAGATTGTTGCATTTTAAATTTCAAATGAAATGTCATATTGGATTGCAAAGTGTTGCCATTTAAATTATTTTTTAAAAATCAACGCAATTATATTACATTGAAATATTAAATAGCCATGAGAAGAACTATCCTTATAAAGTTATCGTATTTTGCCTACAGGAAAAGTTAATGATAGAAAGGAAAATCAAATGCAGATCCATACACCATTGAATACACTAAAAGTTGGCTTTTGAGATTTCCCAGGGGGTGGGGAGTGGACTGTTATGATAGTCCCAAAAGAGTGCTTCCTGGGATATCTTGTAAATCGTTATTTATTCTATTTATATTGAAGTATCATAGCCCATGTTAAAAGTGAGAGGTAGAAGGATTATTGTAAGTATGCATGGCAGAGAACTGACCAGCTATATCCAATAACTATTGCATTCAATATTAATAATCTCAAGACATAAAAATGCTGATGAGTTTAGAACCCATTCTTATATGTTGTTCCCTTTAGCTCTCTTTATTATCTTGCTACTTTCAATCCATTGCCTTTGGAAGGGTATAAGTGCAAAGGGCATGTTTGGGGTAGAATAGGGAGAGAAAGGGAAAATAATGAATAGAAAAAGAAAAGATATAAAAAAATTCCCATTTAGAGTGATTTTAACTATTAAAGGTAACCTATGTTCTTTGACTGAATAAATTTGTATTTATAATAAAAGTACCACAATCCCTTAAAACATACACACATTTCAAAGAAAGTTTAAGAATTCTGAATTTAGTTAGATATGAATCAAAGTTTAAAACTCAGGCTATTTCTTTCTCTCCAGTAATGCTAAAAACTAGGCCAAATATTTTTATTGTGTCATGTTAATGATTAAGTAAGGAAAACTGAACATGTTGTTGAGTCAGTTGTATTTTTAATTAATGCTTTAGTATATGGGAGGGGAAGATTAGCAACCTCACGTATTTTGTTGAAGAATTCTTTAAAATCCCTTTGCATTAAGTATCCAGCAATAGAATTGCAGATATTGCACTGAGTATATTTCAATATTGCCAGTGTATACTTCAAAACAAATTCTATTATCTACACTAAGATTTCCTCTTTCCCAATATTCAAAATGCATATTATAATTACATGGGTTTCCAACATCCATACACAGCAAGTACAAGATACTTACATGTACGTACACTGTAGTTACCTATATTTTGCATAGTTTTTAGTGTGTACTTTGTGCCACTTAATAAAAAGCATTACTCAGTAATTCTCGTTAGATGTTTCATTTATTTCAGCTGTGGTTGGCAGTTGTGTTTGTTTGTTTTGTTTTGTATATTCATCATAGATTACCATTTGCAAAGGGGGATAATATTGGGCGTTTGTAGAGGGTTCTAAGTAATTAGCAACATGAGAAGTTGCAGCAAGATATGAAGTTTTCATTTTCTCCACAATTAAAAAGCATAACACAAAATTTCACATTTATCATTCATTAAATTATCCTGATGTCCAAAGGAAAAGGAAAAGGATTTTAAATGTTCCCCTTGGTAACACTTTGCAATAAGTGGCACTAAATTACACGATAACTGCTATGTTACATGGAAGAACCGTCACCGTTAGACAGCTGCTGTACATGTGCCTATATGGAATCTCAATGCTGTTACAATCATGAGTACATAATTACAAGTGAGCCTGTCCTTTTAACTGAGATATTTATATTTTTACAAAGAAATAAAAATAAATGAGGTGTTAGCTTCTTTGCCATATTTAGGAGAGTTATTTTTCTTTTTCTATTTGTTATTCTAATTGTGGAGTTTCAATGCAATATTAAGCATCTTGAATCAATACGAGTTCATCCAGTTTCTAGACTAAACTCCAAAATCAAGTTCCTTAAACTGCTTCTTGGACTCTCTGGTAAAAGAAAACAAGTTGAAATCTCTCTCTCTTTTTTTCTCTCTCTCTCTCAATTACACACATACACACACACACACATCAATACTCTGCTCATGCTCTCTGTCTTTGTTCTTGCACTCACAAACTTTCCTTTTTTTCCCTAATTTTGATAATCATTCTATCTAGGACACTCAAAAATGGAAAAAAGGAAAAGAAGACTGCTGTTTACACTTTTTTGATGGAGGACAATCAATCTACACTGTAAACAGTACACTGGCAGAGAATAGCTACCGTGGGTAAAGAACAACGTTCCATATTCTACTAGGGGTGTGACTGTGTTCACATGCCTTCCAACGAGTTCCGTAGCTACTGTGCTCACCCAGCAGAGATAGAATTGGACTCCCTGTGCATACGAGTGTTCACATTTCAGACACTGCAATTGACATGATTCCATTTAGAAATGTTATTTCATATTTTTTCCTGATTTTATAGAAATGAGCAGAATGTTTACAATTTCTTTTGTTTGGTGGAAATCAAATATTTTTTTAAAGATAGGAAAATATAATTCCATTGCTATTTTTTTCATTAACTAAAAATGATACCTAATTCAAATCTATTTATTTTAACCAGCAAAACATTTGGATTAGAGCCTATGAATCACATAATACACCAGTTAGTTTCTTTTAAAGAGTTCTAATGAGTTTTTATATTACTCTAAAGGGTTAAAAGAGTCAAAAAATCTTGCAATGCAACCAATTTTGGATCTCTAATTTTACAGTGCTATAAATAATGATTCAGTTATTTAGGCAACAATTTAGCAGTTGGAGCCAAGTAGAATATAGACGAGATGAAGAGGGATGTAAATACAGCATCGATGAAGAGTAGCAATTTTGTAAGTGCATCCTGAAATTAGGCTTTAAATAGCAATTGATGATGCAGTTTATACCACCTACTTCTGTAATAAGAACCTTTCCATTTTTTACTAACAGGATGAATTTTGCTTTGTCTTTCTAAAGATTATGCATTGAAAGATATGAACAGTTTATAAACCTATTCTAGTTTCAATGTGTCTAGTAGCACCTACCTGATTCTCTCAAACTACCATACTATATTAACATATTATTGCATTTTTCCACAGATGGTATGGAGTGAACTGTAAAAACAAGCATGCAATCACATCAATGCAGACTTATTTCCTTAAAATGTCATACTGTATATGATTTATTATGTTAACACTCAACCACATCATATTATTTATGTTCTGTATATTCTGAAAAAGTGCTGCTTGACTGACATCGTCCTTTTTCTTTTGTAAGAAATCAACAAGATAAATGCTTCAACAATCAAAAAAAAAACAATTTAAAAATTCTAACGTTGTCTTTAAAAGATTTATACTTTTCTGATAAATAATCTAAGACACAGCACCCTTGTCTTTCATTTGATATTAACACATGATGTCATACTCAACCATTCTCATTTCCCAAAAATAAATTCCAAGATATTTTTAAACCATAGGCCACCGTGCTTTCAGACATCACAAGTATAGCTACCATATCGTCATATTTATTTTCTTCTTAAAGGTGCAATGCTTGTGAATGGGAAAATAATTTTTATCTAACTGGATTTTTAATCTTTAGTATATAATAAATTTAATGAGAACTAATCTAGCAATATTGTATTTGACTAGAAGAAATAATACGACTTTAGATTGACTCTGTGTCATATTTAAGAATACAGCATTTCTTAATGGTTAAATACACCAAAATTTCAGAAATAATCCAGAGAAAGAGACTTTCACCTTGGAGTAAAAAGCATGGCAGAAATTTCTCTATCACTCACTGTTTCATAAGTTTGTACCTCACAAAATGCATAGACAGGAATTTAATATAAAGGATTAGCTCATTTATACAGAAAACATATCTTAAACATATCTTTTTGGCAAACCAACATAGGTGAGCAGCTCTGGAACTGCCAAATTAAAATTTGTAAATTTTTAGCAAACTAAGAGTTTATTTTTAGGTTATTATTCAACTGTGGTTGTAATTTAAAACCTGAGGCTGTGCACTGGTTGTTAGCTTAAAATTACCTTTCCTTATAACATTGTGCTTCCATTGTATAACAAATCAAAATTAACAAGAACTAGAAAAATTTGTTGTTGAACAGTGCTAGGACATACAGACAAAAATACTAATACATGTTATCTACTTATAATATTGGTTTAAGTAATATCTAAAGGGATATAATGGACATTAGAAAATGCTTACTTATGACTGAATTACCTACAGCCAAAAAAGTTAAATATGTATCAAATAATGTTTAATTGGATTTATTATATGCACTATATACAGATACTAAAATGTCTCAAAATTGTGCCCTATGGATACTTCCATTTTGTTTAGGCAGGTGAGTCCTTGTGGAGCAAATAAATTATAGAATCAAATTAGACGAATGAAATCTTTGTGATTCTTCAAGCAGTAGAATGTTTGTAAGAATTTATTGGTAAATGAAGCTAAAATAACCTAGTGGTGGGATCTATGTAATTATATAAGATGTCATGTCGTGATTGCAATTCATACACATGGCTCCTGTATCAAATACTATATTTTTAAATAGCAAGTTGATACAGCTTTACTAGTATATCTCAAACATTCCAGAATCTATACTGCAGTGTTTCCTAGGGCATATGTTTCCAAAATGTCTTTGAGGATAGACAAGTAGAAAACATTGTTTGTACACCTCTAATCTCTGATTAAACTTAAGCACATTAGGTCGTTACCTAATCCTGTTCCTGTGGAAACTGTTCAATGGCAAAGTGACAATGTCTATGATTTAGAGGGAAAAAAATGAGGGCAAAAAACCTCTGCATACATTTTTTTCAATGTATAAAAACAATTCAATACCATGATCCAAGGAGATGATTAACATTGTTAAGGCTGTATATTCAAGCACTGTATGTTAAAAGAGCAATGGTGTGGAATTTAGGCAGTAAGAAGTGTCCTGCATTATGGATGGTACAGTAATTAAAGAATGATGCTTTCGACAGCTGATTGTTGGTATGCACTGGCTACTGAGAACAGGACGGTATGGAAGTGAATAAGGGTAGCAGAAGATGGTACAAATAAATTCCGGAAGATGACAGCCAGTTTTCTCCAGCAGCCAGCCTGATAAGTAAAACTCAGATCTCGGCCTGCATTTTAAATGAAATATTCTTTTTTCTCTTCAGCATTGACTTGGCTGCCTTCAGCATTGATAATGGCTGTGTCAGCATCTGGTGCATCTTCAGCTCCTTTAGCTTCATTTGTTAAATACGTTCCTATGGGTTTTGGAAGAAAAATATGTTAGTTCTGTGAGACTAATAAAATAGCCAGCATTGAAGCTACAGTCATTTAGGCAGGAACTTATGCCAGATTTCTTCTATGTTGGGACATATTCTGAGGCATAAATAAACCACACAATTCACCCTTCTAAAGTTGCAGACTTTCTCAGTTTTCAGGTACATGCTGTAGATAAAGCTATAGCCAGGTTAACTAGAGGCAATAGCCAAACTGGAATTGGGTACTGAGCACTCTGATTTCTTCAATGCTGGATATGGACCATGTGATCCCCGCAGCTGTAGCAATCAGGGTCCTTTGTTAAGATGTTGATAATGATCACATCAGATATGTCACCATTCATTTTGGTAACTCCATTTAAAAGTAGATTACATCAATAGTTTGCTACCTAGGCCATTGCAAAAAAATTATGTATTTTCCTCACTACCGTGGCCACATGTGTGTCCATCAACCTACAAACAAAAACACCACTTCCTTAAGATTATAGTTGAATTTCTGTCCTAGAGATAAATTAAAAACTTGCTTCTATTTTTTTTCTGAGCCAGTGATTCATTCTGTGACTTTTGGCCATTAGCTAAACATTATTTTGCTAAGATAATCCGACTTTAAAGTTGAGTAAAGTAATCAAGAATTCCCTGAAACAATTTAGTATTTAGTTCACTCTCTTCCCCTCTCTCTCTGTCACACACATACACACACACTCATATAATATTTCATGATAAAGCTAGTCTTTAGAAATTTTTTGGCCAAAATTAAGAATACTTTACTAAATGTAACCTACCTTTATGTCTTGCCAGGTATCGACCAAGCAGAAATATAGAACACAGCGTGACAAATACAACGACGGCCACTATTCCTCCTATAAGAGCATGATCAGGGCCAGTCTGGCCAGCCAGAGCATTGGGATCTGGGAAAAAGAAGAAAATATTGCTCAAACTAGTGTGTTGTTTAGTCATAGAGTGCATATTTGCATTAAAATGAGTTATTTTGAAAATTAGCACATTTCTATTAAAGTAAAATTTCATTAACATGTATTATACCAATAGTCTAGTCAACAAATATTTATTGTGTATCTATAACATACAAGATACTGTGGATATAACATTTGCCTTATCAATCACTGTTGCCATAGAGCTTACATTTTAAACTGGGGAGACTGGATAAACAAATACACACAATATGATTTTGCATAGTTTTATGCCTCTCCTTCCTCCTCTCCTCCATCTGAAAATATGTGTGTGTGTATATCTCTTCGTGTGATGAACACAACTATACCATTTTCTAAGTAAAATTACGTCATGGGGAAGGCTGGGGCTAGAGATGAGAACTTGAGATTTATCATTATAGAAACATTATTTAAAACTATGGAAACTGATGAACTCCTTAGGGAGTGAGTCTAGATAGAGAGAAGAAGAGATCTGAAAACCGCGCCCTGAAGAACTCTTGTATTCAAAGTCCACGAAGAGGAAGTGATTCCAGCAGAGCAGATGGAGAAGGAGAGAACAGGGAGGTATGAAAAGAGCCCAGAGAGTACACTGTAGTTGATCAAAGGGAAGAACGTATTTCAAGGAAAGGAGGGTGATAGAAACTGTTAAGTGTTATTGATAGAAGGAGGAAAATGAATACTCAATGTTGAGGATTAAGTGCCTATTCGCTTTGTAGCTTTCGAGGAAGTGTTTGGAAAGATAAACATTAATGACATACTTTTACATTCTGCCTTTAGTAAGACAGTACAGGAAAGAAATGAGCCCAGTAAAGGGTAGCCTGTTTTCAAGTAGAAACCAAAAAAAAAAAAAGAAAATCAAAAGAAAACCCACACATTTGGATACTCAAAAGTTTGGAAAATCAACTATTTGTAGAAGTTGCACAATAAGGGATAAAACTGAGTGAAGTTTTGAGCAAGAAAATCCATGAAAAGCTCAGCCCTAAGGCAAAGATCAGATTGAGTGTACTGCCCACCGTCCCACTGTTGCAGACAGCCTCATCATAGTTGCTTATAGTCCAGAAGAGGGATTTAGAGGAGGAAGAAAGTGAAGAAATAAATTAGGCTTGGCAATTATACCTTCAAAAGATCTTGGAGTGTGATTATAGGCACATGAATATGACAAATAGATTAGGAGTCTAACGTGTTTTTAATGGAAACATTGGGCCAAAGAAGCCTGTGTCCAGATAGAATAAAGAAGTATGACTATTTGAAACTTCAAACAACCTTTGGATCTCCAAACTTGGAAAAAGCAAGGAGTTAACTATAAAAGCTGTGTAGTCCACATGGAGGCCATATTCCCAAACACCCACTTCAGATGTGGCCATGCAGTATGACTGACAAGGCTGAACTTCCTGGAGGGTAGAATTGGGGAAAGCAGAAAAGAAGGAACAGAGGAGATTCCAGTTTCTTCAAAGAACTACAACTATGGTCAAGGCAGAGGGCTCTTTTGATGCATGTCTGGCATGTTTTCATAATTGCTGTGGATAAGTGACTACTCAGTGTTTCCCATTCTTCTTTTATTTCCAAACGGGGTCATTTATATTAAGAATCACTTCTCCTGGCTCTGTTCTATCATTGTGTTTTGTGTCTGGGTGGAGAGGAGCATTAATAACTTCCTTTTGGTTCATCTGTGCCTGGACTAATGCATCCAGATATGATGAAGAGGATTGTGCATATCTGAGGACCTTGGTCTTTGAGTTGGGTACATTGGCTTGATGGGACTTTAGGTTGTCTCTTTGGACAGGGTAGGGTAGTGGTTTGCAGAGGGAAAAGAGGTGAAAAGAGAATATTGATCTATTGAATATTGAATATTGAGCTAGAAATCTCTGACAACAAACTTGTTTCCTTTTCTTTCAGTGCACAGAGCTGAACATTTTCATGCTTTGCTTGCCATTGGATATAACCATGTGATTTGTGTTCTAGACAACTGAGTGAAGGCCCAGCCAATAAAAACTTTCCATGTGTAACCCTCCAGGGTGGTCTTGGGAGAGATAGGTTGAAAATGAGGGAGCCACAAGAAGCGAAGCCGTGGGTCACTGAATCTCCACCTGGAAGAAAATTGCCCAACTACAAATACATGTATTGAACTGCTTGAGGAAAAACTAAAGCTTTATTTTCAAAACACTGAGTATTAAAGTTAATCTGTTACAGCAGCTATTGTTTAATTTCCTATTAGATAGTTTTTTGTATTTCCTTTAATTTCTGGCATTGACTATAAATCTCAAAGAAAAAAAAAGGCAAAAAATAAACTTGCCACGCCTCTGAAATCCCTCTTCCTGCTCCTTGCCTAGATACTTTACAATCAGCTTCAACTCCTACCACTTTCTCAAGTCTCCAAATACAGAGCATCATAAATCACATCCGTTTTATTTGTTGAATGTCTCTCAAAGCTGAGCACTCTTTTTGGGAAGTGAGAAATCACTCGTTCATACATCTCTGTGCCTGTCTTATTGCCTGAAGGGAAATTCTGAGAAGTGGTATTGCTGGATCAAAGAAGTGAAGACTTTTGATAAATATCACCAAATTATATTACAGAAAGATTACACAAATTAACCCTCTGCGAACTGCACCCAGGGTTCTTTTCCCCATACAGTACTAACATTAGATAATATAATTAAAAATATTTTGCCAATCTAATACTGAAAGGTATTAAATATTTTGTATTTATTAAATTATAAGTTTACATAAGTGCGTTGAAATATTTTTGCCCATATTAATTCATTAATTTTGCAATGTTTTTTATGGGGTTTCACCATTTTCCCACTCAAATTTTCTGTTTTAATAGCTCTCTACATAAAGGATGAACACTTTTAGCAATTGTTAAAAATTTATTCTTCATTTTTGATCTTCTCAGCCATAGATAAATCTTATAATTTTATGTAATTAAATCTATCAAACTTTTGTGTTATGATGTCTGACTTGTGGGTCGTGATTTGAAATGCTTTTGCCGTGATAAGATTGTACACTTACAGATTTATGTGGTCATCCAACACTTTTATTATTATACTTTAATCCATCTAAAATGTATTTTGGTCTATAGTTTGAGGCTAAAATGTAAAATATATCTTTAATTCTTATTTGACAGCCAGTTGTCCCCCACACTATTACTTTCATCAATAGCGTTTACCACTTACCATAAACTAAATGTCTACATATATTATGTTTCTGCATGTTCTAGTTTATTTTATTTGAGGGATCTATACATGCAATCCTACACTAGTATCACAGGGTTTTTAAAAAATTATAATATAGATTCAGTATCTCCAGTTCCTGTATAGGTTCTGATTCTGACTGAAACTGAAGAACTAACTTTGATTAAAAAAAAAGATCAGTCTAGAAATAATCTTGAAGTTATGTTTTCAGTTTTTATGTTTCTCAAAATAAAGGCATTTGACAACTTTGAAAACCTAAGCTGTGTTCCTTTAGGTCAATGTGGAGGGATGAATAGAAGAAAAAAAATAGCCTACGGCAAAATGAAATCTTTTTTCTTCAGGAGGCTTGTTGGAGTTTTCAGGGGAATCTGAGTGTTGGAGATGGGGAGAATGAAAACTAAGGTGATCCAACTCCTCTCCAACAGATCCACCAGTCTGAGCTCTCTCAAGGCCACCCGTCTTCTCTTTCCTCTCCCGAAGATCATTGAGTACCAGCCCACAGGACTCCATACCCATTCTCTTCACCTTCCAATAGGAGCGCACACTCTCTGGGGTTCGGAGACTATATTGGGAGAAATCATTGTTTAGCTGGGTAGAATCTCAATTTGTTGGGCAGTTAGCATTGTAGTTTTAAAAATCATTTTAATTTCTTGGAGGAGAACTCTTAGATCAGGTTCAGAATAATTTTGCAAGAAACAAAACTACAACAGATCATTTATTGAGATTATGCTAATTATAGATAGATTTTCTTTTGTATAGTGCATTTTCCAGGATCATAGTATGATTCTTCAATTATTCAAATCTTTAGTGTTTTCTATTAAGTGGCATAGATTTTCAATATTTCCCATTTTAAATATTTTAATATTTAATAATTTGAAAATTTTAATATTGTTTTAAAAATATTTTAAAATGTTATTACCTTTTCATTAAACTTTATAACTTATTTCTTGTAGTGCCATTCATTTTTCCTTTTTTCCTTTATTTTCTAAAGATTATGTCTAGTATTTGTCAAGATTATATTTATCATTTTTATTTCCTGACCATCAAATTTACTTAATTTTCCTTCCAGTTTAAATAGTGTTTCAGTTGTTCCCTTAAAGTTTTTCTTTCTATTATGGATATCAGGACTATATTTTCCTTTTTTCTACTGCACTAGTTAGCGCTTTGTGTACAATAATGACAATATCATCCTGATTCTGATGATGTCAGAATTGCATAAAAAATCTAAATGGACTAGTTACAATCCTCCTTTTGACAGTGTTGGTCTCTTTCCTCATTTCAACAGCTAGAGTTACTTTTACAGTTCCTATTTCCCTGAAATTTGATAGCAAAGATATTCATCCCTTGAAGATACGTAGCACACATCTTGTCAAAAGAAAATTTCATGGTAACAACATCCTTGAACTTTGACTATCTAAGTATTATTTTATTATGAATAAACACTTAACTGGCTAAAAAAGCCCAGATTTTTATCTTTTTGACTTAATAATTCAGAACAATATGTCAGTGTCTTGAATATTTGTTTTGCCTCTCCTTTCTCCTCAAATAAACCTGAAATTGTTCAGGTTTTTGTTTTCCATTCTTTTTTAAGTGACCTGTCTTCTCTGCATGATTGCTATCAGAATTCTTTGGTTTTTTCTTCGACTATATTTAGATATTTTACCTACATATATTTTGCAGTTTATCTCTAGTCAGAGTTTTGCATCATTTTCAATCTACTTTTTTATTAAAATCAGATTAGTTCATTTGTTTTTGGCTTATGAATTCTTT